ACTCAATTAATTAATCAAGCTCAATCCGAGGGCAGCCTGAGCTCGACTCTAATCGACTCGGTTACTGCCCTAGTTCTAGCCATCCAACCACCAGTTTCTTTCCTCCTAGCTTGTTTCAGCTCACCTTCCCTTCCGCCGTCCCCCTCCCTTTTTGCCATCCAACCACCAGTTCCTAGCTTGTTTCAGGCATCGACTTCCTCGTTGTCCAACGCCCTCTTTCTTGCTGCCCCCTCCTAGGATAGCAACCACACTTGCCTTTTCTATAGCTTCACATCTCTCCCTCATGGTTACTCATACACCTTCTCTACTGCCACTTCTTCCAACCCTTCCTCCACCCATTGCTATCTCTCTGGAAGAATAAACCATTACTGATCATTTCCACCACCTCGAGATCTACCCTAGTTTAAGTGTTTGTGCCTTGTATATTGCTTTTCCAGTAATAATAATTGATTGCTTATTGCTGTTTGATTTAACTCTGATATCATTCTTTGTGAAGAATAAAGTGCAAGATAATGAAGAATATGTGCCCGTGCATGTGCACATACACATACATACATTTATAATGTGTATTTGTGTTTGTTTTTAGAACTTGGGTTGGATGCGAGGAATTAAAGCGAGAGTGTGAGGCAATAATTTTAAGAGCAAAATTTTTTACTTTTTTTTAGCAATTGGAAATCACACGGTCCTTGCATTTCCAGTTAATGTATATATATATATATATATATATATATAGTGATTGATTTTTTTTTGTAGTTGCTTACTGGTTAATTGTACATATTTCTGTGTTGGCGTTATACCTTCGGGCTGAGAAAAGGTACACCTTTGCAACATAGTGAATGATTAAGATTAATACCAAGTGCTAATATCAAGTAAAGTAGTTTTATATTCAAAAAGAAAAAATATCATATGTAAATATATGCAAGCAAAAATTAATTATTATAAATTATATAAATGAAACTTTATTGAATCATTAATATTTTTAGGGGTATTTCATCAAAGGAAAATTATAATATACAAAAAAGAAAATGATTATACTACATCTTTAAAACCAATTCAAAAATCTAGCATACATGTCTAAATAAAGAATTACTGTTAAAATAATAGATATTTGCCCCAAAGAATAACTTTTATTGAAGAATCTGCTTTTTTGATGATGGTCCATCAGACAATCTACTCTGATCTATTAAAAGAAGAATTATTGATGAATGAGCTTGTCTGGTAAACTTAATTGTTAACTCTTATATAAAAAATCATAGATAGTCAGACCTAAGACATGCAATATTACCGATGAAAGTGATACTAATTAATGCAATATTACAACAATTATAATAATCATACCAAAACAATCTATATTTGCATGAAAACGTTTGTCATATGTGGAAACACTTCAATGGTGATTTATATGCACTGGAGTTTATAATATGTTATAGCTTGAGTTTATATCAGATTCTTATTAGTTCTTGACCTTTCCCAAAGGGTTGATTTCATTTTTAAAATTTGAAACATGACTATTTACAAAATTAACATCCAAATACCACCATTTGCAATATTGCTACCCAAATCTCGAAGAGCATAAAAGATTCCCAATTTATAGTTAAATATCCTATGAGATGGCCGTGAGACACTGAGAGTTAGTTTTATATGTTGTCAAAGTTTGGGTGGCATTTGATTAATTTTGTGGTTCAAAAAATCACCAAAACATGATTTTCACATCAACTGGAAGTCCTCGCTTCTTATGCATATTTTTACCAATTTTTCATGTGACCTGGAACGGGCAAGTAAGATAAGATATAGAATAATTTGTTACTGCAATACAGTATTGTCTTGATCATTCATGTTTTCGTGGCAGTCGTAAGAGCTTTGTGGCTTGCAGTTTTAATAAAAAATGAGTGGGTCTATACGTTTGTTTTTTTTTTTTTTTTTTTTTTTTTCTAATTTGAACATGAGGTCTTCTTACATACCTAGGATTTTCATATCAAACTTCCGGCTCGTCTCTTCTCTCTGCGAAGATGTCATTTCTTGGTAATTCTCTTGTTGATAATTCTCTTATCATGCTTACATATTTTCATATATGTATTTTTTTGTGGTAAATAGAATGGTACAGTTATTCAAAGTCCTGGAGTTGAAGCTAAATATTGAATATATATAATATATTTATTTTTTCTTCTTTCATTTTTTAAATAAATAATGATTATCCATATGAGTTTATTGCTACTTTACCCTCTTTAAAAATGACAACGATGTACAATAGTTTTTTAAGCAGCTATAACAACTGTATCTTTACTAGGATCTGTGATTTAAGACATGAAATATGATTATATTACTAAAAAAAATTAAATATGCATTGTTATTTGTGGCCTACTTTTAGTGCTTATTTCCACAAGATTCCTTGTCTAGCCTTGCCCTCGTAATTTTATTATTTTCTTTGTTTGCCCATGTTTTTAAGAAATGTCTAGTTTTTTAATTGTTCAGATACGCAAATAAAGTTTCTTGGTATTTTTTAAGATATCTGTATTTTGATAATGTTATTAATAACTATTACTTCTAAGCTTATTTTTATTGAGCTGGTTGTATGCATTCTTGATTGCCATCATTTTTATTCTGCTTTTGAGTTCAAAGTTTGTATTCTTCTTTTTTGTTCTAACCTTTATACTTCCAGTCTCCTACAACTGCTTTGTGCTTGAAGTTTTGATTTGTTCACGCCATCTTGTTAAGTTATTTTGTCTTGTTTATGGCAGCAATATTATGGACGATCTAAGTGAATTGCATGTATATTGTAAATATTTAATTAAAATTTTGCTTACCTATCAAACAATCAACTTTTGTTGTTTTTTTCTGCCAGATTGCAAAAGCCTTAATGAGCACATTTTATGGCACTTATTGACATTTCCTTCATTTGTTGCATTTTAAGCCTTGAATATCTGGTTTGCATCTTTGTTAAACTACCATTTCTCCTTTTATTGTATGCCATTAGTTTTTCTGATCTTATGATGTTTTTGTCATGACCCGACCTGATAGCTTAGCATTAACTAAGTCAAGAACTGCGGTCAGACTGTATTAACATTTCATTTACTTTCATAGATTTTCATTACTTCCAATTTCAAACAAGCCATTAAAAAACTTAAAAATACGTTACGCATAAATAAATTAATCATCCAAAACTATCATGTTCTGCAAGTAGAATATCTTAAATTAACACAACATTATCAGAACTCAGGAGTAAATAGTACAATAACTACAACCACAAAACACTACTTAATATCTACTAAACCCCTTGTGTCTGACATTAAGACATTAATCTTCAATTTTTTCTAAAAGAAATAATTAAATTCAAAAGTAAGTTTTCCACCACTTAATGAATAATTACAATCTTTTTATGCATTAAATTAATATAAAAATGTTATGCATTAATGTCCTCAGAAAACACAATTTATTAATATAAATAAAACTGTAAATTTTCATTTTTAATTTAACTATTTCCATTCTAATTAAATTATTTACCAACTTGAAACTTTTTTTAAAGAAGTTATATCAGAATTACTGTCATACTCGAATGTTTCCTCAAAATTATACCTGTAGGCACTCAAAATTTTGCACTCGAAGTTACTACTTTATCATTTTCATTTTTTTTTCGTGCACGGGTATCAAATACCCTGCCACTACCATTTGGGGGTAATTTTGAATTACATTCATTTTCTTTAATTTACTTCCTTTTTAAAAACATTGAATAATTTTTTTCTCTTTTTCCATTCCATTTCATTTCATTCATTTTAATAATTCTTAAGCTTATAGCATGCATACAACATTCATATAATTATAAATTAGTTGTATAAATCATTTAGACAAATCTTTATTTAATAAAACATCTATTTAATACATATAAGAAAGTAATTACTCACCTTAACTTTAAGTGACTTCTGTAAAAGTTTATTCCTCCACTTTACTTTCTCTCACCTATATCAATTAGAAGTGCAAGGATTTAAAATTCTTTTTCAATTCTAATCACAGATTCTAACTAAAGGACAATTCAATATATTTTTAATGACATTTAATTAAATCAACTTATATAATAAATGCATAACTCTTATTTCTACTGAAGTTACTTTTAAATTCTCAATCCAAGATTCTTCTTCTTTTATTTCTGACCTTAATAATAAAAACAGTAATTAGTGCATTAAATTAATTATGTAAAATCCCATATTGAAATTAACTATAAACATACCTTAGGTATCTCTTTGTCTTTTGCACAAATATTGATCTCGACTTTTCTCCAATCCTAGATTTCTATAGCTTCAATTCTCCTTTATTAAACCTACTATTAACCTTTAATAAATAATTGGTCATTTAACTGCATTAATTAATATAAAAAAACCTAATTTTTGGTTTAGCTCCATACACGTGCTTGGCTCAAGTCCAGAAACATACGCACAAGGCAATCTCCTCTTCCTTTCTTCCTTTGGCTAGGGTTTAACAACCTCTTATCCCCCTTTCCCTCATACAAGAAGTTTGCGACACCTCTTCTCCCTCTTTGCTAGATGTAAGAGCTGCACAGTTCCTCTTCTCCTTCATGCACCAAGGCTTGCAGCTTCGCCTCCTCATCCTTCTTCTCTGTTGTTGATTCTAGCAAGAAGTCGAATCCTTGGTAAGTGAAGCACGCGAGAACACATCCCTCTCCCACAAAACCCTAAATTTTTTTCTTCGGGGCACTAACACTCTCACTCTCGCCTCTTTGGCTTAGTTCTTCGCTTGGTATGATATTAGAAAATGGGACATACGACTCTTAAGATAACCGTGGAGACGGTTATCCTTGCTGTTTGATATTTTATTTTATTTATGTTTTTTTTTTCAGGTATTGCATTTCTTACTTTGAAACCCTGTGGCAGACTGGCTGTTCAGTTTCTAGTTTCTGTATATATTCTGTACCAGTTCTTGTATCTTCCAGTTGCTTAATCCTTTTGCTTTTGCAATTGCATGATTTCCTTAACCTGGCTAACCTACAGTATGCAGTACTGATCACAATAATGATTTTATTAGAGGTAGCTTTGGCTGGTGATCTCTTTTTCAACAAAGAGTGGAAGAAGGTGTGCTTGTATAGAAATCGTTCATTTTCAACTCATAGCAATTTATTTTCCCGGGCATATTGTATCGTTTCATTATTATATCTCATGATATATAGGATCTTCCAAATGACTCTACCGGAGAACTAAAAAATCTCATAGCCTTTATTGAAGATAATATTGATATATTCAAGTGGGCTGGAGTTTCCTTTATTGTTATTCAGGTATCCCATTTTCCTTGCTTAAGAAGTTCTTTTATATTGAGATTTTACCATCAGCCATTCTCTTGCATTTATACGTCATCATTGCTAACAATTATGATCGAATGAGCCATATGAAATTCATCATGGGTTACAGGAAGCTATGGAATTCCACTACTTATTCAAGGTTGCTAATGTCAGTGCTCATTATATGAAGGCCGACTGTTTTATTTTTTCTTTTCCTAGAAGGAGAAAGTTCATACTTGCATAGCATTTTTGGTGCTTTAAACTTATGCATGAAAAGATGTATTTCACTTTTAAAGAAATGGTAATGGTGCTATTTTTGATTTGATATTGAAGATTTGAGTTCTATTTGTGTAAATATGAAAGTTTAGGTGTGACATGTATGTAAGTGCCCCTTAAAAATAATGATAATAAATATTATTTTATCCTTATTACAAGGTCTGTTGTATTGTGACTCCTATTTAATCCTTATCTTCATTTTGGAATTACTTCACTGCTAGATGATTTTCCATTTCTGAAACAGACGATATAGTTAGGGTTGCGGATGTTGAAGAATAATACCAGCATTTGAAGGAAGCATTTTAGTTTGAAAATTTAATTGAAAGAAAGTTTATTGTTACTAATTGTTTTTTATCCTTTTGCAGGCATTTTCCCTAATGCTTTCTGTGCTAATCCGGGCCATGATATCCAGCCGTTGGTTGGACTATGACAGTGATGAGGAATATTTTGTTATCAGGAGACCCCTTATAAACCAACAGGGTGGCCAAACAGTTGGTTCAGCCTCTGGATTTCACTCGGATATTTGGAGTTCACGAATGAGACAAAAGGTATCTTGCTTTGACTATTGCTTTGGTGCTATTTCCCTTGGATGGATGTCTGCATTGCTTTGCTTCTACAGAGGAATGCAAAATTTTAATTTGATTTTTTCATTGAGTTCTTGAGTATTCACAGAGGTGTACAAGACTACAAAAGAGAATTTTCACAATTTCAAATGTGGGCAGGAAACTCTATAATTAAACTGAAAAAAATGCGTTGTGAATAATGAGGAAAACAAAATAGTAATAATTACACAAAATTGCTGCATTGATGTGGTCTCTAGGAGATGCCAATCTTTATCTTATCTCTTAAGTTCACGAAACTGGTGCCTGGAATGGGTTTGGTGAGGTAAAATATGCAAGTTTCTCATCGGAGGAAATTTGGCGCTAAGTGGAGGAGATATGCTTTGATACATATTAGGCGAATGTGGATTAATGCCTTCATTTTTTTGAGGAGTTTTTGAGCATTTATAGAGGTGTAAAAGATCATAAAGGGGTGGTTTTCTAATTTCAAATATAGGTGGGATGCTCCTGAAGAAAATAGAGACAAGTACAGAAGAGCTTAAAGGAGGGAACTGAAGAATTACATATAATGGCTGAATTGATGTATTTCTTCTGATAACTTGCAAATGAGAATTGCAAGCAGGGATCACAATTGGTTTAATAGTAGTTCATTTATGTAGTACGTTGTACCAGATCTTTGTTGTGGTTTCCTTTGTGGAACACACCGCATTAACGTTTTGTATTGATAGATATACTTCTAATTTTTGTCAGTGTCTTTCTGAGACTTGGGTGAGCGTAAAGTTATCTTGCCTCAGGCTGTTGGGCTGCAATAGCATTATCTTGGAATAATTGCCTAAACGTTACTAGTGTGTAAATCTTGAAAAAGTGTAGGGCCAATTTCAAATGCATGCTACTTCGAACATCGTATTCAATTAAAACTAAATTCTGGAAAGGTTTCAATATATCATGTTCATCCTTCCATGATTCTCTTTCAACATTTTTAGCTTCCCTATTATGACGCAAATCTCTATTATTGGAGTAAAGAAGCTCCAATATGAGGGAGAGGGTCTGTTTGGGGCAGTTTGAACTTATTAAAAAGCTTTTGTGAAGAAGCTGTTGCGATGAAGCTGGTTGTTTGTTTGTTTTTTGCAGTTCTGTAACAGTTGTGCTGTAGCTGTTTTTTAACAAATGACATTTCTTTTTCTATAGTATAGTTGTGTTTGTAACAAAACCAATTCAACTAGCGCATTTCATACTTGAAAACAAATATCCAGTTCGAATATTATAAAATAAAAACAGACACTTCACTATACTGTTAGTAACTCGACAATCAAAATTTAAAAAAATTATTAAAATAACAGTTAATAATATGATAATATTATTTTTAAAATGCACTTGGTTAATGTCATGAGATAATCCGTTCGCATGATCGTTATCGGTGGTGGAATCCTTCCACCGACATAAGGAAGTCACAATTCTCTATTATTCTCTTTGGCCATTTGTAAAACCGTCTCTCATAATTATGTAGATGTCGCGAAGTAAGCAAGGAACATTTTACTCTACAGTAGTAGTACAATGCTTTGGAGGTACCGAAAGTCCTGGAGCTATCTTTCTTGAAAGTATAAAACTATAAAACACAAACTCTTAAAAGCAACATCATTGAAAAAAAAATAAAAGTAATTAATTCAAGTTTCATGAAACTTTGAGCTCTTAGAGAAGAGAGTATGAACCAATGAATCTGTCACTACAAGAGGACAACAAACGTTATAAAAAAAAGAGTTTTTGGTTGCCTTTACACCATTTAATACCTAGCTCGTATGTGTTACATATACATATAACCAAAAAAGCTATTCAAAAGAACCTCAAAAGTCATAAGGCTGAAAAATGAGAAACTTGGTTACCTTCATTAGGATTTCACACATGTTAAGAATCAATAGCAACATGTAGGTCATTCCAAAGAACCCATAAAATTAATTACCTCATCATAGGCCTCCAAAATAAAAAATAAAGCTTGTAATAGAAGTTAGATTACTTGTTATATCCATGGTTGCCTCATCAACCATCCAAGTGGGAAAGAATACATGCATAAGAACTATCAATAAAATTGAGTTTCAAAAATATACATCATTGCATAAAACATCGATACAATAAATAATAAACATTTCCACAACACATTGCAAATAAAGTTGCAACAAAAAAAAATACAATCGCTCCGGTCAGCCGCTGTCGGTTAACTTTTTGAAAATTGAAAATAATTTTAAATTTTAATTTAAATATAAGAGGTATATATTTTTTATTTTGAAAGTATCGTGTTTTAATTTTAAAAAAAATGAAACCAAATGGATCTCATTCGTCCAATAGTTTGTATAATCATGCCCGATACCGTAAATACTACACATTTTCGAAAGATGAGTGTATATCTCGGCGGTAGACACAATTCTGTAGAATAAGAGATTTGTGACATCCGTTTGGTCTGCGTATCTTTTTTATGTGTGATCGACAAGTTTTCCTATTTAATATAAATATTAAATAAGGTTTATTTTACCTAGGTTTCAAGTTACTTATGGAAACAAACCCCTATAGTTAATTACATCCCAAATGACTGGGGTCACTTGAGAAAACTCTCAATAATGATCAGAGGTATTAGTTTTCAAGATTTCAAAGTTTAGGTTTTCACGATAGGAGGTGGAAAAGCAAGTTGGAGTGGCTCAAATATGAACAATCATTTCAGGAGTCTAAAGGAATGAACATGTATGTGATGTCACAGATTCTGAGGAGAAACCTCAGTGACTTTCCAGACTATCCTACTGTGTGGCTGTGTTTTGGAGAAGATGTTATTTAGGTGTTTAATCCTGTTAATTTTATTTTTTTGGACTTACATTTACATAATATCTGATTATACAAATAATCAACAAATATAAGAGGGTTTACATCGTGTCACACGACAACCTCGGAACCTAGGGCGAGTTAGGACTTTCGCTGCACAACACGGTTGTACAAGAGCCTAAAGAGTGTGTGAGGATTTACGTCGCGTTGGGCGAACTACCTCGAAGTCCTATGAGTTGTTATTTAGACTAGAAAAGAGATTGCTGAAGAAGATCCTCTTGCTGCTCGGTCTGAGTTCCTCACCGTGCTGCCCACAAATTTAGCTCTGAACCTTCTGCCGTCGCGACAGTTCTAGGGTTTAAGTGCTTGAGATTGGTGATTTATCTTTCCCAGTTTTGGTGTCAAAGTTTGGTTTTGTTTTGTTTCGATTTTGGTTTCAATTATGGTTTTGCATGCAGAATAATCAAATTATAGGTAAATAAAAGGTACTTGAAAGGTAAAATGCAATAAAGTAAAATGTTGTAGATAAACTGTAAAAGCGTATATGAGCATCTGCTACTGTTGTGTGATTAATATTACAAACATAGTATGATTTGCAACAGATTTAAACACACTTACAAGAAAATAAATAAGGCGAGAAAACTCAGCATGAAAGTCAGAAAAACGAATCATAGAAATCATAAGCAAAAGAAACCCTTAGCCACATATGAAAGACCGTGACTGAGTGTAAGACATTGGCAGAAGTGGGGGCTCAGAGCTGGATTATGTGCTTCCCGATCTTGAACAAGAGTTACTAGCCCGACAATCTACAAAAGACAGTCCTTAACCCCAATCCAAATGATCAGCCGTGGACCTTTATAAATTTTTATAGAAAAATTAATTTATTTTCATGCAAAAGCTGTTGTTTAAGTCTTTTTTATGTAGAGTTCTTTTTAACATTCAAAAGAGATTTTTGTTTTATTTTTTTTAAAATATTTTGTGAAATCGTATAGTCCACAGGTTAGTCACTCTAATCGTGTTAGAACTACTGACAAACGAGCGTCGGGGGCAACGATCCTACCAAGAGTCAGAGAATAATATCATGGATCATTTCTTCTCTCTTATTGAAGATCCTTGAGGTAGAAGTACTAATCTAATAATGTCACTTTGTATCCCTCGTTTAAGCACACATAAGTAATTTCGCCATCGCCCTCGTCACTTAGACCTTAGACTTATTCTAGTATGATGATCCATATTTGACATTTAACAAATTTTCTCAATTGTCAGGATGATTTGAGTGCAATATCCAAGCTCAAATTTCAGTGCATTGGGTTTAACTATAGGTTAAGTCATTGCGGGAATTCCACTATTGATTTAATTAAGGAAGCATAAACTACGTCTCGGTACATCATCATTGTCTAGTGTCTTAATCAGTTTGTGCATTAGTGTCAAGTGTCTAATTTCATTATTTTTTCGAAAATTAGGTGGATGAACGTTCACCTAGGGTGTGCTCCTAAAATCTAGGATGCCTACACTAAGAATTAGGTAGATGGGCTCTCACCTAGGGCGTGCTCCTAAAATCTAGGAAGTCTACACTTTAACATGTGCTTAAAGTGTTTTACCCTCAATTAAGTGTTTTCCAACTGATCCTCAAATATTTCTAAGTGTCTTCCAAGTAATTTAATCAGAATTTTCATTTTTTGACTTAACCATTTAAAAATAAATAAAACAAAAGGTGGAGGCCGGCCCACTTCTAAAACTAGTAAAGCCAAAAGGGGGAAAACAGCAAGTGAAGCACTCATAGCAATGGCTAGAAGAGCTCCTGAAATCCAATTTTAAAATTGTGCGTAAATCAGCCCCTAAAGGCTACATATGCCTCTTCAAAAATCGGTGCATAAAGCAGTGCTAAAATGTTACCCAAACAGTGCCAAAGTGGTGCCAAAACTGTCCCAAAATCAGCCCAAAAAAATGCCCCAAATCAGTGTTTTAAAGCTTCTGAAACAACACATAATTGAGCTCCAAACAACAATTTTACAAACCCCAAACAACACTCAATTATGCTCCAAAACAGTTGGAATGTTGGTTTGTATAAAAGCAAAAGTATAGTTCAGGTGTAAGACACGTAAATTCTTAGGAATCGTTTGACATGAATTGTAACATCTCGTGGCAACATAAGATTTAAGTTTAGGTGCTATTTATGTAAA